ATGCACATAGATGTAAGTTAAGACTTACACAATGGTAATGAAACTAGCGCAACCCATTGTTAGGGCTTTTGTCAAGGTAAAAATAAAACTACACAGCTCAATTAAGAATGTTGGAATTCTGGGGTTTGACGTATTAAGGGAGGAAGAGTGATAAAAGAGAATGAAAAACTACGATACTTTTTGGTTTGATAAAACATTTTGTTTCACTTTTAATTGCAAAATGCCACCTTGTCTTCACAATTTGGTTTGTAAAAGAAATAACGAAAAAAAATTATTGATCTGTTTTCACTATTTCTTATGCAAACTGTTGAAAATAAGAAATAAAGTGAAAACAGAAGTTTTATTAAACCAAATGACCCATTATTAGGTGTTAGGTGAGATATATTATATTTACAATGTATTGATAAAATAAACAAATAAGGTAACTAATACTATAAGATGACAAGGAAACTGGGAAACATTCCTAGAGAACCTTATGTCCTTTTTGGATACCTACATGTATTCTCGAACAAATATATTCAAATATGTACCCAAAAAGTCATAGAAACTACATCACTATTCAAATCAAACTCCATAGGGGAAACATAAAAAAAAAACCATGAATTAAAAGAAAACTAGAAAAGGGATGCATTTAATGACAATAAGCAACTACAAACCATCTTACATCATCATCATTGAGGACACCCCAGTGAGCATCAAGTACTTGATTGACTGTAAAACTCTCTGAAGGTTCTATAGGATAAACATCTCCCTTCACACAAGCAAACGTGTCAAAATGAACGGTCAGAAACTAGATCTCGTTTTACTATCTAGCAAATAAAGCCAAGTAAAGAAGGGGACGGGGGCATATTGAACATGCAGTAATGGAGTGCATTTATGCTAATTTATTCTTTGCAATAGTCACTGATTTGTTCTTCTTGAGCCCATCATTGAAATTCTATGAATTTAAAAATTGAGTTAAATAAAGAGCCAAAACAATGTAAATCCAAGCACAATATATTACCACACTCAGGCATGACCTAAAATATGTCATTCAATTTCTACCACGACCTAGCAAGTGATATGAACCAAATAATTGTTCTGAATTATGGTATTGAAGGAAGATGGAATACATAAAAGAAAAGTATACAGATAATGAACAAAGTCACAATCAACAATAAAAATTCAATTCTATAGACCTACTAACCTCTTAAAAAAACAATGAAAAAGGAAAAAAAAAGCACAACTGTGAAAATACAAAATTTTAAAAATAAATGGGAAAAAAGATTCAAGAAATATGAAAAAAAAATGGAGAATGTAGAGAGCCTTCCCAGTTGCATCATGTAAGAAATGACACTGGTCAGAATATAGCACGCATAATACCAAAGAGGACATGTAAACACAATTTTGTACCAGAAAAAACTCAAGGGAAACGCTACATTCTTAAAGGTGAGCAGTTATACTCCAGTCAGATGCTCAAAAGAATTGCACAAAGTACAAAACCATCATGAAACTTCAGCCCATGTGTTTACCAAAAACATTTTAGCTAAAGATTAAAATATATTCCAAAGCCCAAGAGACAAAAGGTGTTTGATTTTAAAGACCATTAGCTGCATTGTTAATAGTGTTTGAGATAAGCATAAGCCTTGAAACCATTTTCCAAAATTTCCCTAGTGTAATTTTACTCCAGCAAACTAAGTTTCTTCATGATTTCTAAATTTAACATAGGTTTAAATGGAAACGGGAGAGTTAAAGAGTAAATATCATACCCCCACAGGCGTATCATTTTTGGCAACAGGATTCACATTTTTTGCTCCCACAAGGGCATTAACAGGTGTTTTTCTTTCAAGATCTGGATAAGACGCAGCTGAATACCGCCAAAATGGAGCAGACGCACCCATCTTTTCCCTTCTTAATGCAATCTAAGATTAGTTACATCATCCAATAATAATGAATTAGTAAATTTTGCTCAGCCTTACAATATAATGCTCAACAAAGTGGACAACATACAAAAGTTATGGAAATTTCTTAGGTACTCAATTGAAGTTTCAACCTTTCCAGTTCTAGCTATTTCTTTAATTCCAAACTTGCTAAAATTTCTTTTAACCGCAGCCATCTTCCCTGGATCTCCAGTGACCTGTAATTAGCAGAACAACTCATCTAAAACTATGACCTGATTTTATGTCCAATAATAGCTGATGACAAATTGCAAGTAATGATGGCAATGGTTGTGACTAAATAATAGTTAAATGGAAAGAAAATATAAGACAAACACTTAATAAAAAAAGGTTAAAAACATCTACCCAGGTCATCAGTGCACTATTTATTCCCAATATTATTTAAAGATAATCAAAATCCTGTTTGTGTAAAAATGAATGTCAGGAAATGAAAAACAAAATAACTAAAAGTGGCCAGTCCAACAAGTAAACCACATACAGTAATACTAAAACCTTAGCATCCAAATTTTACAACTATTAATGCATTGAAAGGAAGAGTATACGAATACATGTAACATATTCCCCACACGAGCTGTTTACAAGACTGTATATCTGTACCACACTAGTAGAATACAATGTACCTGCAATACTAAACGACTATCTAAATGAAACAGCAGTGATACTATTTCCCCACTTTACAAGTACAATCCAATTGATTGTGAAGCCACGGCCAATTAACAATACCTACTGCAAAAACAAAGGCCCGGCAGCAAGATACCAGAACTTTCATGATGGCCACACAATAGCTTCGGTAGCTTCATTTTTTGTCAAATGATCCTTCATTGTGGTGGCACAAACAGCACTGTTGAACCAATTGACATTTTAAAATATTTGATTCATAGCAACGGTTAAGCTTTGAGCACTTTGGAATTTGAAAAAATTATGCTTACAATTGAGTGGGATTTAACTTGTAACACGTACACAAGTCACTCTCAAAATTTTCTCTAAACAAATACATAAATTGAATGTATTATTATAAGGAGACAAATAGCCCAAAAAGTAACCGTCATGAAGGCATTAACAAATATTCTCAAGTAACTAAGGTCAGTGGAATAAAAAGAAATGCACGGTCCGCATACCCTTGCCTTCAATTACTATTAGTTTTACAAGATGCGTATAAATACAGCGTGCACTAACATGTAAATTGAAACATATTAAAAAGTGTCCAGCACTAACCTCAATTGTCACCGAATGCTCGGAGATATCGACAATCTTAGCTCTAAAAATGTCCACCAACCACTTCAACTGAGAATATCCCCTCAAAAGAATAAATAAATAGAAGCAAACAAAAACACATACACATAACAGATGCAAGCTCATACAACAACCACAAACCACTAAACAGCTACCTCCGCATGGTGCTTCGGATCAGCATGCACTTTTATGAGCATCAATTCACGTTCGACCTGCGGTTCCTTAGAAAGATCCTCCACCTGGAAAGCAAACAACACAAACAGAATCAGCGTGGACGCTTCCTTCACATTGTCTCGAAACCTTCACTACCAAACACTTTTTCCAAATTAGCATCACAATAAAATGCTAATTACAAAACTCCCGCGTTATTCTACGAACAGAAGTGAACCTTCAAAACGTTGACGAGCTTCTGAAGCTGCTCCACGACTTGGCGCAGCACCTTATCGGTCCCTGACACGACAATGGTGAAGAGCGCCCTGTCTTCATTGAGGCCAACGGCGAGCGATTCGATATTGTATCCTCTCCGCGCGAAAACGCCGGCAATCCTATTTATCATTCCGCTCTCATCGCCGACGAACACCGAAATCGTGTGACGCCGAACCCTGCATTGTAAACAGAAATCATCAATTAGAAACGATTCGGAACACTAGCTAACATAAGTAAGGAAGTGAATGGAAGGGAACAGAATAGGAAGACATGCTTTGAGCGAGCGGGAGAGGGCGGAGAGGGAGGGGTGCTGGCGGATACCGTTGTGGTAGAGGAGGTGGCGGCGGAGACTGTGAGTTTGTGGGCGCTGAAGGTGTGAGGTGTGAAGAAGGAAGGTAGTTTGAGAGAGAAGAGAGGCTTAGGTTGAAGAGAAGGGAATTTGAGGGTTGGGATTGGGGTTAGAGTGGCTGCCATTCCCTCAAGGCAAACAAAGTGAGAGCAACGGTGGTGGCGGCAGCAGCAGAGAATGTGTGACAGTGAGCGCAACTTGTGTGCTTCCTCTACTACTTCTACTGCATTATGGACACGATTTTTACTTTGCTTTTTTATAAATATTATAATTAAAAATATATAACTACTTTTTATTTCAATTGATAGCATATTTAGTCAATTTATTACATTACAATATAGGCTAAATGGTATTTTTATCTTGAAAATGTAAAATTATGTCCTTTAAACATTTTTTTTAGATCAGTTTAAAGGATCTTTTGTTTGGAAAATGCAAAACTAAAATTTGCTGCTCCCCAATGTCATATTTAAATGTATATAGTATTATATATTAATTATTAGTTATAATATATAATACATAAAAACATGTAACATATATAATGCATTTACATGTTATATATAATTATATTTATAACAAATTATATTGTATAATTAAAAATACTCTAGCCAAGAAATTCGGTACATGCTCTAACCTCTCCATGGTATTAATATACCCAATATATGTTATACATGTAATAAATATAGCATAATAGATCGAAAATATTTTAACTAATCGCAACTAAACAGATGAGTTTAACAAACATAGCATTAAATAAGTAAATTAATGTAATTTAATTAAAAACACAAACTCAATCATATACTTTCCAGATCAAGTCTATTTTGATATACACATTACGTAAATCCAAGATTCCCTGAAAAAAAAAATATTGAACATGTTTAATATTTGATTCCTCGTAAATATTTATTCAATATAATCAGCAGGAAATTAGGCAATAATATTTTGTATTTATTATAACAAGTAATAAAGCATAAATTTTCATTCATTTTTTCGCTTTTTCCCCTCCAAATAGTTATACTTGTTTCTTGAGGAAGAATATTAAATATAATAATTCAAAACTTCATTCAATTGAACATAAACTAACTTTATATCTAAAATTCAATTAAAAATAAATATTTTTAGTTTAATTAATAAAACAATATGTAACTCTCCTCAAACTTAACATTCAACGTATGAAATAATCAAGTATTTAAAAAGGAAAATATCATTTTAATAATTTTTTGACAACTATTTTAAAAAAATATATATGATAGCTTGTGATTGATCCATTTCAAATAAACAAACAATAAAATAGTGACACACAGTCTATTGTTAAAAAATTGTTAAAAAAAATTATTAAAATATCATGATCCATTTAAAAAAATCAACCACATACAATCTTTAATTATTTAACCTGAAATTTCATTCACATCAACCTAAGATAATTAAATTAAAATAGTTTCTATTGTCTTGAATTTATATGATATAATAAAATAGATCTATGGTGCTTCCGAAGAAAATGACAAATCCAAACAAATATCACTGCCTGCTTCAATTCATCACATGTGACATTTAAATATAAATATAAGATCCTTTATGCATATGTGATGAAACATACGATTAATGATTCATTATTAAAACACATACAAAATTTCTTTTAATTTGAAAATTCTAGTTTATACCTTTTTAATGAAAAATCGAGTAGTTTATGAAAGATTAGTCTTAAGCATGAAGAAATATTAATTATGTAAAAGATAATGAAAATATAAATGAAACGTAATAACATTTAGAAGTGAAAAAAAAAACAGCATAAAAAAATTATTTATTTATTTCTAAAATAGAGTATCTTCTTCTTATTTCATGTTAGAGTACCTTCTTCCCAGGGATATGATATGGAGCTTTCGTATAATTTTGTTTGTTTCCTTGATTTCATTTCCTACTTCTATTACTTCTTCTAGTAATTTTCATTCTCCAGTTTAGGTGTTTTTGTGTTTCAATGTTCATAAACGAAAATAGCTCTTTTCAACTTACTTTTAAAATTTTCAAAATATTACCTTGAGTTCAATCTTATTTTATTATCTAAACTTTAATTTTAGTCAATTTTTTTGGTTATTATTTGATGTTGTGTTTTTAACAATTAGAATTCTAAAAAAAAAAACTCTATTAGTAATTATCTTATTATTAGGAATAAAAACTTGTGATATTGATCATGATATTAATTGTTAAGAACAATATTTATACTTAGGGTGTTGCTTCCTCTGTCACCACCATTTCTCCCTCCACCTCCTCAACCTTGTGCAAAAAAATTTTAATTACAAAAATAATTTTTTTTTACTTTTAACTCTATTTATTTACTTTAAACTCAAACCCTATCTTTCTATCCATTTTTACTTTTCACTCAGTCCCACCTCCCAACTCTCCTTCTCTCTCTTTCAGATTCTCACCTCCTCAACTCCACCACATTCGTTTGCTTTAATTACAAAAATATTAATATAATAAAATTATATATTTCATATAATTAAACTAATAAATAATTTTTTATATAATTATAAAATTGTTAAAGAATAAAAAAACCATATATATATAAAATATATATTATACAAAAACATTAAAAAAAACTAATTATATATAACTGTAAAATACAAAAAAATATAAATATAAACTAATAACAATAAAGATCTTCAAAAATACATTATTAAAATACATCAAAAATATATTAAAAAATAATACATCAAAACATATAAATTACATTATTAAAATATCTCCAAAATTAATATAAAAAAATAAACTAATAAAAATAAACTGAAAAATAAACATGTAACTTTAAGCCGATGTGAGCATCTGTCAACGAATGTCAACATCTGTTTAAGGCAAAACGAATATCGACATCCGTTTTTCCTTAAACGGATGTTGACATCCGCTGAGGGATGCTCACATCAGTTTAAAGATTATACGTTTATTTTTTTAGGGTTTATTATACGCACTTTCACGATGAATCCTTCAAGCACCACTACACCACCACCACACACCGATCTTGGCACGGCTGATCAATTTCTTCCACCACCACTCGCAATTTCTCACTAAGCACATCAGTTAATGAAAGTCCACCACACTCTGAGACTACAATTCTATCACAATAAAGAATGAGAGGAAGAAGTGGAACGTGAAAAGGAGAAAGAAGAGCACAATGAAACAATGAGGAGACGAACGATAAAGAGGAAGAAGAGTTGCCGCTGCATACATGTAGAGGATTGGAGTGGGTAGAGGTTAAAAAATATTAACCCTAAAATTTTACTAAGGATAAAATAGGAATGGAAAAATAAAGAAAGGGGTAAAACAGGAATGGGGTGGTGGAGGGAGCAAGGGGTGGTGGTGGAGGGAGCAACACCCTTATAGTTAGACTAAAAGTTATAAAAGTTATGACTCATAAATAAAATGTAATTTTTCTATGTAATTTAAATGTTATCGTTTTGATTTATATTACAATTGTTGTCCCATCTAACACTTTTGTCTTATTGTTATCTTTTTCTTTAATCTTATTATTGGTCATGATTGAATGTTTGAAATTAAGGAAAGATAAAATATTCAATTTTGATATTCAATCTCTAATAATTTCTGTATTTTTTGCCAAATTCATATTTTTTATTTTGGGTTAAATATGTTTTTAGTCCCTAAAGTATTGGTCGTTTCTGGTTTTCGTCCCTCTTTCAAAGTAAGGTACAATTTGGTCCTCATTCTTTTCAAAACGTTCGTTTTAGTCCTCGGAATTTTGGTTTCAGTCCTCATTTGTTGCTAAATTAGGACCAAATTTTTAAACAGTGTTTAGTTTTCGAGGACTAAAACGAACATTTCGAAAAGAATGAGGACTAAATTGTACCTTACTTTGAAAGATGGACGAAAACCAGAAACGGCCAATAGTTTAGGGACTAAAAACATATTTAACCCTTGATTTTATTACAACCAGGCTAATCCGATAAATAAAAATGTCAATCATTATTACAATATTTATATAAAGTTTATGTTTATGTAAATTTAATCGCAAACTAATCGTTATACAAAATTAGCCAACAAAATTAACTCACAGGACCAAATCGTGCAACGCGCATTGCAATTTCTAAAACAAAATCCAAAATATTCACATGAAAAGGCAATGGTTAAATTGTTTTTATGCGAGACTTGAAAGTTTCAAAGTAGTATATAATAAATTTAATATTTCTTTTGAAAAGAAAATTAATAATTCAACAATTGAACAATGAGAAAAATACACAATTCATTTACGTAGCGCGCGAATAGAATGTAACAAGTGAAGATAAAAAACCCTGCCTTCACCCTAATCTTTTGCAGTCCAGTCTCAAGGAGGTCGCGTTTTGAAATTAGCGTGATAGACATCATCGTAATCTTAATATTTATATGATTTAAAATCTGCAGGATAAACCCTGCCATATCAATGGTAATGGCGAACAAACTTGCTGGTAGGCGGGAACTACTGGACCGTTGGAGAGGCATCGCGGAAGAAGAGGAGAACGACGATGACGATCATGTTGATTCCTCCAAGAGTCGTAACCTCCACCTCCTCAAACAACAATGGTTATCGCTTTTTCCCCCTTTTTCATTTTCAGCGCCAGAACGAATCCAAATTATAGTCAACAACCAGTTCTTCGTTTTAATTATAATGGAATTGCAAAATGTTTGGTTCCCCTCGAATTTCGACTTTAGTTTTACTGGGAATTATTTTGATTTGTTGCTGAAAGCAAAATAGGTTTAGAGTGATAATACTAAAGCAGATGTTTACTGTGTCTGTTGCTTATGCATTATACATATTGCTCATATCCTCAGTACAAGCACTTGATAAAACGGTGAGTTTAAAGAACAAGTATGGAAATAAATAAATGATTATGAAACATAATTGTCAGTCATACTTGTGAGTATCTTTAGATTATGTTATTCTTTTATTCTACATGAAAAAAAAAAACTAGTTATGCTGTTACTGAGGTAGTGTTGCCTAACTGGTTTCATATCTAATGAGCCTTGGTGTAGTTTCCACAATGACTGTAATTATTGCCAGGTTTGCAGATGCATATAATTTTCTAATTTGTTTGCCTGGTGGAAGTCATATTTGGTGTGGCTTTTCGGATATAATGGGACCGCTTTTGGAGACTTTTTACAATTACTTCAAAAATGATTGTCAAGATTCACCTCTGAGGCTGTTATGGAAGAGAATATCTGATGAAATGGGTCTTTGCCTTCAATGCATTTCTCAGCATCATCAAGCCCAACACATGTATAACACGGAGTATGAGTCTAGTTCTATTGGTCCTCTTCTCGATGTCTTGCAGAAGCTTGATTGTGAAAGGGTGACATTACGTCTGAGGGATGTGAATAGAAAAATAGCAGGGGAAATGTATGATCCTGCCTGCGATAATGCAGAAGTTGTTAATGTTTTGTATGAGGTGTGTTTTCTGTGTCCGTATGGTTGATATAATGTTTTAGACTCTATTTATTGGGTTGCATCTGACGATTTCTCTTTATATGCAGATATTTTTGTTGCTTCTGAATTAGTACAAGAAATATTTTAACTGTATTTTTCCATCTAAATATGTTTTCTGTTTTCCATGGTATTTTATTACATATATGTTTTTGTGCTGAAAATTTCACTACTTGATGAATTGAAAATCTCATTGAGAAGAGCAAATTGTTTATTTTTGTACTGGGACAGTGTTAGGCAGGGAAATAACGAGAGGGTTAGGAAGAAATTTAAAGATAAAATTAGTAAAATTGTTAGTTGTTACTGGGGGAGACTTTCTGAGGAAGTCTATATATTCTTATCTTGTGGGATGTTGAGGGAGAGTTTTTTGAGTTGGTGTTTGTGACGGGGAGAACCCTGTGAGAAAGGGAGATTTTCCTTTGTAAACGTTGCCATTTGCGCCTCTGATAGTGACTAGTTCAGTTTGTGAGTTTATCTCTGGTTTTTCTCTATCTTGCTTTCTCATCTCTGTTTCAAGGTCCCTAACACATGGTGAGTTTTATTTGTTGCTAAAATAGTATTTCTCTTATGATATTTTAAGTCGTAGTAGTTGTAACTAGTTTCATTCTACTTTCTTTATGAATGAATTTTCTAAATTGAAGTTTAGAGTTTATATGCTTATTTTCCTCTTTTCACATTTCACACAGGTGTTGATGTTCCCATTCCTCTTAGATTTTGAGTCTCTATTCACTGAGTTTGAGTTGTTTGTTGAAGCTATCGACAATAAGCATGAGTTGGCTTTGTCTGGGCATCAACAATTTCCGGTGTGTTTTATTTCTGGTACTCGCTGTGTATTACTGCTAGCAGATTCTCTGTTACAGCGTGTTAAATGGTGAACCCATTTTCTTCTAGGGAGTTTATGCACTACTATTTTGCAAGAGAAGCGTTCGTTCTGTTGGATATCGTTTAGCAGGATCAATGGGCAAAATCAGGTACTTATTGTTGGTTGGCCAGAAAGTTCTTCAGTTTCACCGATTGTGATTTCACGTTTAAGTTGATGATGTTCCACTGAACTTGGGTTTTGTAAAAGGAAATTCTCTGCATCTGTAAATTCCTCCTAAAAGTACATATGGATATCTTTATCTTGTCTAAAAACAAGGCTGTTCTGTTATAGAGAAAGACATGGAAGGCACATAGTAGCATATGCCATATCACTATTGAAATCATAGATATGAGCCTCTTTACTCATCCATTCTTCATCACCATGTTCTCATTGAGTTTTCTGGTGTCAAAAGCCTTTTTCTTTTTTCCATTTTGATATGATCAATGTTTGCTTCTGTGTAGGAGAGCAACAGACTTGGAACCTTTGCAGCCATTGCTTAAGAAATTTATTGGCTGTTTAGAGGCAGATGCTTTACCAGTGGCTTTGGAGACCTCAACACCAAGAACTCAATTGGATCGTGTGTCTTTATGGATTGGTATCAAATCACTGTAAGAAGTGTGTTTGAATTTGGTAGCATCAATCTTTAGCTCAGTATGTTTTTCACTAATATTTTCATGCTACATCATTATGTATGCTTTGTGAAGGCTTGGCTTCTTGGACCCTTCAACTTTTGAAGAAGGGATATTGGAACGGTATCCGTTTTTTGTCGATATTGTACTCAATCATATTAGTGGTGATTCACTTGAATTTTCACACGCCGTTACTTGCTTGAGACTCCTCTTTGAAATGCTTGGTATGTTGTTTTTCCTTTCCATTTCCCTGTTCTTTATTTCATATATATTTCTTTTGCTGACTTTTTGTTTTGTTGTTTTGGCTTGGTTTGAGGTTGTAAGCTTTGGTTAAGGTCTACATTGTCTCCAAGTGTAATGCGCAACACTCTAATTGGTCAATGCTTCCATACTTGCAATGAGAAAATCCATAAAGATATTTTTGGTCTATTCCAACCTTTTCTACAGGCATGTATGGATGGTGATTTGATTTGTTTCTTTGTTGCACGTGTATTTGGAGAAGGAGGGTTGTTCTTGTATTGACATTATTGAGATATTTCATCCCATTTACAGTCTCTTGAAGCTTTGCAAGATGGAGAGCTTGAAAAGCAGCGTAGGTATTTTCTCTATTTTTTGCTCCATCAAGTGCCAGTGAGCAGTAACTTCAGCGTTCTAACAAGGAAATTGGCATGTCAGGTTATTACATTTAGATTTTTGCATGATCGATGAATATAAATGTGTGATCTATTCGGCTTTTTTAATTGATGCTGCAAATTGTTTTGGCTTATCACCATTGGTATAATGCTATATATAAGATTGTCTTTGCAGATAGCGCTTCATATTGTACACCGAGGTTACAAGATGAACCCGCCTTGTCCTCCCTTTGAGTGTGCACATATGTGGTAAGAAGTCAGAACCCCTTCTTTTTATGTGTTCAAATGAAACTTATTAAATGTGGACTTAGTATTAGACAGTTGTCTGTACTCATGTATAAGTGTTGAGCACTCAAATTCTGGAGTCAGCAACTTGTAAGAGTTAGTTAATTTGCCTATCTTTTTTGTCAAACATAAATTTGAAATAATTTCCATGTTTAAACAAGTCAAATCACTAATTGATCTAGAACTGAACAAACCAATCAAAGCACTTAAAAACAAATTGGGCAATAAATTTAAGCCTTTTACACATCGTTTTAATGATTTTGGCATTGTTCATAGATTTATCTAGCCCCACAGGTCCATACACATCACCTAAACGAAGTTGTTGAGTGCAAGCATTGTTAAATATCTTGTCACAATTTGAACCTTCTAACACACCACCTATCATCCGCAATCCATCCTCTTATGAGTCTGCTTTTGTCCCTATTCGAGTTCCAATTGTCAATCCCCTCCTGTGCAGACTCAGTCTATCTCTGGAATTCATCAGTCCAGAATTCATCCTTCCTTGTTCCTTGCTCATTTAGAACCTAAAACAATTAAGGAAGGACTTGATGAAGCTAATTGGCTTGCTGCAATGCATCCAAAATATGATGCACTTTTGAAGCGAAATACATGGGATTTAGTTTCTTGACCTCCTAATAGACAAGTTATTAGATGCAAATACAAAGCAAGGTTGGTGCACGATTTTTATTTTCGTAAAATTATTTCTCTAGTGGTAAAACCATAAGTTGTTATAATTTAGGGTATAATGATTCATCTTATTATGTCGAGATATAAAATATGCTAAGCGAGAAACAGAAATACACTTGAGTGAAAGTGAACCAGCAAACTAGAAAAAGCTTGCAGAAACTTGATGAACCTCAACTGTAAGTTAGATAATCAAAATGAAGACAATTAAGTTGATAGGACGAGAGAACACAAGGAGTCACCGATTAAATAGNGTTGCTAAATTAGGACCAAATTTTTAAACAGTGTTTAGTTTTCGAGGACTAAAACGAACGTTTCGAAAAGAATGAGGACCAAATTGTACCTTACTTTGAAAGAGGGACAAAAACCAAAAACGACCAATAGTTTAGGGACTAAAAACATATTTAACCCTTTTATTTTATATTCAATAAACTTAATTCAATTTAAATAAGATATTTTCTTAATTTTGAAAATAAAAGAATCAAAAACATGTTTATAAGTTGAGTCAATACGACTCAATAGTAGGTCGAAGATTAAGTTCAGATTGAATGTTAGTCGAGTTAGCCTCAATTAATGGTAAATTTGAGTTAATCTTGATTGAAGATCGACTTGAATCAATACCAACTTAAGATCAACTCTCATCATTCCTTGTCAAACATCGGCCCAAACCAGCCCAAACCAAAAGTCAACATGAATCAATCCCAATCGAAGGTTAGCCCACATCGATCCTGTCAAAAGTTGACCTCAATTAGCTCGGTCAAGGCCAAATGTCTGCCAAGTTGGCATAGACCAAAGATCAACACAAATTGTCTTAGTTTGAAAGTCAATATGAGTTGTTCTTGGCCAAAGGGTGGCCCAAGTCGTCCCTGACTGAAAGTCGATCGAGTCAACCCCAAAAGAAGGACGAGTTTATCTCAATCGAAGGTCAATTGAGTCATTCTGAGTCGAAGGTCAACTAAAGTTTGACCAAGAGTCAACTCGATCGAAGATCGGTTGAGACGTTATGATTGATGGTTAATCGAGTCTACTAGGCCAAAGGTCAATTAAATTGGTCAAGTTAAGGTCGACTGAGTCATTTTCAACTAAAGTTCGACTAAATCGCCCAGACAAATAGTGTAGGAGTCAAATTGGCCGATGGTTGACCAAGTTAGCTAGCAGAAGGTTGATTGACTCGGCTCGATTGAAGGTTGACCGAGTTGGTCGGACCGAAGGTTAACCTAGTTGACCCAACCAAAATTCGGTCAGTTAACTCTTGTCGAAGGTCAACATGAGTTGGCTTAAGTCGGTCTTAGTCAAAGGTTCGTTCAAGCTGATCTCGATCAAAGGTCACCTATAATCAATCCTAATTGAAATTATACTTGAGTCGGTCTCGATCGAAGGTCAACTCGTGTTAACTCTCACCAAATAGTCGAGCTAAGTCAACCAAAACTTAAGTTTTAATTGAGTCGACCTAAAACGAAGGATCAGACCAAGTTAGCCTAAGTAAAAGAGTTATCTCGAGTCCATATAATACATATATAATGAACATCTAATAATCTAATAGTAAAGTATATCAAATTGATTTCACTTAATTTAATATCATTAATAAAGTATATTAAATTTAATTTTAGTCCCATTTAAATTAGATTGAAAAAAAATGAGTTAAGTACAAAACACACAACATGAAAGTGTGACGAATTGTAAAATTAAAAATAAAAAAATAAAAAAATAAAAAAAATGTTTATATAATAATATAATATGATTATTAGATAGTAACAAAGAGAAGATAAGCTTCATAGTCTTTAAAAAAATTTTGAAAAAATATTTGATAATAATATAATATGATTATTATACTAATAAGGAGAAGATAAGCTTCATCGTCTTTGTGTTTCTCTCTCCATGCTTGCACCAATCATTTTGCCTTCCTCTTTGCTTTCCAATTTTATTTTCAATTTCTTATCATTTTAAAATTTAATTTCATTAGTGAGAAATTGAAAAATTAAAGAACCTTCATATATATTATACTGTAAGATCATTCATATAGTTATAGACTAAATGATCAACCAGAGAAGATGCTGAACATACAATTTATCAGGATCGGACGGACAAACCACTACTTGATCGCGTCAATGGGAGGCGACTAAATCTAATGCTAAGCAACTTAAGGTAAAAGTATGATTATCAACAATTGGGTCATATTAGTAGTTGTTAATAAAAAAAAAAGTCACTATAAAATCTATGATATAGGTTTAAGGTAAGGAGTAGATGAATTGTATTGTTGCACCATTAATATTTAAATTGTCAACGTTAGCTGATTTTGGCATCGTAGTGCCTTCTAGAGGTACCCTTCGAACAGTTTTGACGAACGACTACAAGGAGACTTAGAGTATAAGACAAGTTTTGGACCCCTTAGATGACCTTTTGGACGTTGGATGTTGGCCTCGACTTTACATTCTGCAAACATTGCATCAAAGTGGGACCAAGTATTCAATAACCAACAAAAATCCTATGGTGACTACAGGAAACATGATGAGAAATGTCATGGTAGAAGAGTCTAAGAATCACCTAGTTAGTTAGAGACTATGAGAACCGTGCAACGACATATAAAAGAGATGCATAGGAGGTATGAAGAGGAATTAACGGTCCTTGGGGCTGAAAACACAACTATGAGCCAAGAGCAGAGCACTTGGCTGTCTGTGCCCCGGGCCTTAGCACAATAGTAACAATAGTTCCAATATGTCCCAATCAGACTCAGAGAAAGAAGACCTATGCAGGATAGCCCACAAGGGCAGCACGAGAGCTATGGGGAAAAACCTGTCCATGCAGATGGTGAACACGATTGACCTATTGTCTTTCATGTCAACAATCACGGAAACCC